CTTTTTGTGTGTGTACTTTTTAGTGACATGGTTTACCTTCGTCAAGTTGTGTACACTTTACCCTCATTTGGTGTTATTTTCAGAAGGAGGTATTTTTACTACACCCCTTTCACAGATTTGGAGACTCAGGCCCCCACAAGGGAAAAAAAAACTTGCCCAAGGACACGCAGCTAGCCAAAGAGCCCAGGTTCAAACCCAAGCCTTCAGGCCCTTGGGCTGGACTCTTTCTCTAACAGTCTTCATTCATTCAAGGTTTATTAGGCAAATCATGAGACTTCTCACTCTCCCGGGACAAAGACCAATATCTTTTCCACGGCCAGCCAGGCTCCAAACGGGACCAATCTGACTCCTGCCTACCTTACTTTCCACTCCTTTCCCCCTGGCTCACTAGCCTCCACCCACACAGGCCCCTTTTCTTTTTCTCAAGGAGCTAACTAAATTCCTTCCTACCTCAGGGCCTTTGCACTAGCAATTCCCTCTGCCAGAACCACTGTTCCTGTAGGATCTTTGTGTAGCTGTCTCTTTCACTTCATCTGGGTCTTAGCTACCTGTCATCTCCTCAAGAGGAGACCACTTTTCTTACTGCTACCTGCACTCCTGCTAACCACTCTCTATCCTCCTTTATGGTGTTCATTTGGATAACATGCCTTGCAAGCTTACCACGGGCCAGGTACCATTCTAAGCATTTTATGTGTACTACTCAAGCTAAGCCTCACACTGTCTAGAAGTTAAACAGTACTATTTCCCCCATTTTACAGATAAGGATACCGAGGCATAGAGAGGTGAAGTAATTTGCTCATGGTCACAGCCAGTATTCAGAGTCAGGTTATCTGACTCCCAAACTTCTGCTCTTTGTTTGCTTGATTATTGCTTTGTTAGAACTTAAACATTTTATGGTTTGCTTGTTAATTCTGTGTCTCCAGCACCAGAGTCCAGGCTGGTGAAGAGCATGAACCTTGATTACCCTACATTCTCTACACCTAGAAGCATGCTTGGTGCTCCAAAGCAAACTGAAGGAATCAACCTGAGATGCACTTCAAACCCAGGTCTATAGCCCTGGTCACTTTGAATCCATGTCTGTTTAACCTGCCCTGTTTAACCCGAGGTCACCTCTCCCATAGTACTAGTGAAAGGAGTTGGTGAGAATGTTGGTCAGCAACTATTTATTAACTGAACTTTCTGCCTTTCTAAGTTCACAGGGTCCAAATATGACCCCTAATACCCCGCAGTAGGCTCATCATTCTGGTGATGGAGCCTTATCTCTGTGCTTCACTACTGGTTTAGGAGGGGGATGAAGTGCTGTTGCCTGAACCCACTCTTAACTGCCAGGGATGCAAATTTAATTCCCAGAGAGCTTAGGCTAGCACCCTAGGGCAGGAACAAGGTGGGAAAGGAGCCACTTTTTATCCTCTCTGCATCCCAGTCTCCCCACTTCTAAACAAGGAGTCACCACACAGGCATGACAGGTTGTGAAAGATATAGTGATCTGACGAATGGGGAACTGTGCAAGGTGCGAGGTGAGCGTTAATCACCTCCTAGGCCTCCGGCTTCATCAGTTCACAGCCCGATCCCAACCTACACCGCGAGCCTCAGCTCCAGCTGCAGCATTCCTCTCTCGCCAGCGACCTAAACTCCAGCCACGGTCCTCGTACTTCCCCACCTCCAATGCACCCCCACATACAGCTTCCTCTGCCTTAGGAGGCTTTGCTTGCCTTCTCCCATAGGAAAACTCTTTTGAGATTAAGAATCTCAGGGATACTTAATTGGCATTGGAGGCAGGGACTCCACAGCGCTCTGGGCCTCAGTTTCCTTGCCACTAAAATGTAGCCTCCAACGCTTGTGGGGGTTTGAAGGGAATTAGGGCCGACGAGACCAGGTGAGGAGGGGCCATGAGCTGCAGAAACGAAGTCCTGGATCTAACCCTGCGCTGCTCGCTCTCTGCAACCGTTTATGTGTCGGCACCCCCACTAGACAGGCAGCTCTCGCAGGGCAGGGCCCCCGGCTGCCTTGTCCCGGAATAAGCCCTCGGAAAACGTGGCCTCGGAGAACGTGACAAGCAGGAGTGAACGATGAATGAGGGAATGAACAAATGAATGGACGGAGGGCCAGACGCGAGACAAAGGCCTGTAAGATGGCGTTCTCTAGGACCGCGGGAGGGGCGGCCAGGGACGCGGCGGGGGAGGGGGACCGTAGACGCCGGGGACCTTGCAGGGCTGGCCGCGCGGCTGGGACAAAAGCCCGCAATAAGGCGGGCTCTAGGACCCCTGGGTCCGCACCGCCCTAGGCGGGCAGCCGCTCTGGACGAGCCCCGGCGCCCGCGTCACCTGGCCCGCGAGGATAGCCGGCGGGTTCTAGGACCCGCTGGGCCCGGCGCCCGCTCGGGCCCGCCCGGGGCCGCTCTCCTCCGCCCCGCCCGCGTTGCCCGCGCCGGGCCGGCCCTGTCCGCCCTTGGCGCCCACAGGGAAACTGAGGCCAGCTCGGATCCCGTCCGCGCTGGAGCCAGCCGCGGACCCCGTGGCTTCCCGCTGGCGTTTCCTACCTGAATGGACTTGGGTTGGCTCCGCGACGTCGGCGGTGGCTCCTCGCACCTACTGAGCCCGGGACACTGCCAGGGAGCGGCAGGCACTAGGACCCAGCGGGAGGGGTAGGGGAGGCGGGGCCGGCGAGCGGAAGTAGACGGGAGCTTTCCAGACACGGGAGGGAGGAAAGGTTTACCGGAGCACCCCAAGCCTATGGTGGCGGGGAAACATCTTGCCAGGGGTCTGTGGGTGCTGAGGGGAAGGAACGCCTGACAGGTTTATGGTATAAACCCGGCTATTGCTAGCTTGGGGCCAGCTCACCGGAAATGTCTCCAAGAACTAGAAGGTGGGAGGACAGAAAGGCCATACTCAGGCTTTGTAGTCCCTAAATCCGCTTATAGTCCACAACATTTCCTTTAATAGCGAGAAGTGAATCTAATGAAGCTACCGCCATCGGTCTTGGGAAAAGTCTTCCAGGGAGCCCCGCGAAAAATTTTGCGAAGGTACTGAAGCCAGAGCTGCAGAACCCTTTTTCTTTTTCCACTTCTGCGTTCACCCAATATGCACCGGAAGGATTTTTGAGATTCTCGCCGGAAGTGTGGCTAAGGTTAGTGCGTATAAGAGCAGCACTGTGACCTACGTGGGCGGGGCCAAAAGCCGCGTTTGCCTGTTTAGCCCCTAACTCCGGAAGCGTGTCTTCGTAGACGTCCTTTTGGAGGCGGGACAGGAAGTGTTCCCGATGCTCAGGTTTCGCGGGGAAGCTTTTGCGGCTTGGACACTTCCTGTTTCCTAGTAACAATAGGAAGTGTCCGCGGAGCTCGGGAGTAGACTCCTGGTCGTGCTAGCTGCGCCCTCATCCTTTTACCCCCTTTTTTCTCTTCCTCTGCCTCTTTTTCTTTCCCTCCCCTCGCACCTCCCTGGGAACCCTGACTGAATGCGTACGTGGAAGCGCTAGAGTCCCCCCCGCCACCTCTTGGGGCGCGCGGCTGCAGTTAGGGTAAGGGTCCCAGTGCGCAGGCGCGTTCCCTTTCGCTGTCCTACTGCCTGCCGCCCGCAGTCCCCAACGGACGCGCCTGCTGCGGGAAAGAGAAGGGGGGCTGCCCGTTCGAGGTGGGGGTCCTGAGAGGATATTGACAGAGGAGATGATGGGAGAGGACCTTGGTGGTGATAGGCTAGGGGAGGAGACTCTTGAGCGAAAGGGCTTTTTGAAGTGAAAATTCGGGGAGCAGGTTCAGTGAGGGAGTTTAGAGTCAGAGATAGAAATGATAGTGGGGTCCCATGAGAGTGAAGAATCAGAGTCAGAGAAGCCCAAAATGAGGTAGGAGGCATGAGGAGCTATTATGGAGAGAGAACAAGGGCTTTGAAATGAAGACTGCCTGAGTTCAGTGGGTTTGCTCACGTGTAAACTGGGATCACAGAGGCATTGCAGTGTGTTGTCAGGATTAAGTAACGATGAATATACTTTGCTTACTGTAGCGCTTGCCACACGGTAATGCTCATTAGCATGTGTTGTTGTCCCCATCATTAATATTTAAGAGAAGTAGCGAAAGAAATGAGAAGGGGATGATTGAGATTAAGGTGAAGAGGTAGGGAATGAAGAGCAACCGGAAATAGGATGGGATTTCCACAGTAGAAGGTAGTTTGGGTTCGGGGCAGTAGATGAAGGAAGTAGCCAAGATAGTCTTCTGGGAAGGAGATCTTGAGAGCTGAAAGGAATAGGGGAGGTGAGAGAACAAGTCAGCCCTTTCTTAAAAGGGGCCTCTAATCTCTCCTCAGGTCCTCAGCTGTCAGCTAGAGAAAGAGGCTGCTTTTTAGTGCCTCCAGGCACTGTCAGCAGTCTTCTCCCTCTAGCTAAGGGGTGAAGGAAGAAGGATTGGCCCTCTGTTATTGAAAGGCCTAAAAAGGCTCTGCTTTCCTTTTAAGGTGTTAGGGGAGATACGTTTCCTTTTTTCTTTTTTTTTAATTGTCCTTCAGGTGAAGGCTTCCAGAACAAATAGTATCTCATGAAACAGTAGTACACACCTATTGTTTTATGACATTGGTTAACAACCCCACAACATGTCAACTCGGGAAATATGTTTTTTTGTTCCAGAATTATAGAGAGCAGAGGGTTAGGGACAGTGAGACTTTTTGGATCTGGTCTGAAGAATAGGATAGTATATCTGTGATCAGAAGGAGGTAGCATCCCTCTGAACTTTAGTTTTCTTGTCTCTGGCTCTAGAGATGAGTTAGTTTAGGGGAGCTTATGTGCAGGAAGGCCTTATATGATGGTGCCTCTAGGTTAGATCCAGGAGAAGGCAGGTCCCTAGGCACTGATGCTTAGGGAACCTCTCTCTGGCCCCTGGTGAATTTGTGGCTCAAAGAACCAAGAGGCAGAGTTAATTCAGCCTGGCCTTCTGACCACTGCCCCTTCTTCCTAGGCCTTGACCCCTCCACCAGAGGAAGATGCTGCTGCCACCTGTCTGTTCTTCCTGAACCCCCAGGTTTCTGCCACGCTGCCCCATGGAGGACGTGCCTGCTTCACTCAGCTGCTCTGACTGCCAACGCCACTTTCCTAGCCTCCCAGAACTGGTACGGCACCGAGAACTGCTCCATCCATCTCCCAACCGGGACACTGAGGAGACTGACCAGATCCCCCGGCCCTACCGCTGTCAGCAGTGTGGGCGGGGCTACCGTCACCCAGGGAGCCTGGTCAACCACCGCCGGACCCACGAGACTGGCCTTTTCCCCTGTACCACCTGTGGCAAGGACTTCACCAATCCCATGGCCCTCAAAAGCCACATGAGGACTCATGCTCCTGAGGGCCGCCGCAGGCACAGACCTCCCCGCCCCAAGGAAGCCACCCCATGCTTCCAGGGTGAGATGGTGTCCACTGACTCGTGGGGCCAGAAGCTTGGCCCTGAGGAAGGCAGGGAAAACCAGACAAAACATACTGAAGAGACACCTGGCTGTGAGTCTGGGCCTGACCCCAGGGCAGCTCCAGGCACTTGGGAGGATCCATCTGCTAGACAAAGGGGAGGCTGGGAGAGCCAGCCAGATCCTGAGGAGGGTGCAAAGCGTTGGGGGGGCACCACCAACTCTGCCAGAGCCCCGCCTCTCCCCACCCCAGCCAGCAGCCTCCTTAGCAATTTGGAACAGTATTTGGCCGAATCAGTTGTGAACTTCACAGGGGGCCAGGAACCCACCCAGTCCCCTTCTGCTGAGGAGGAACGGCGGTACAAGTGCAGCCAATGTGGCAAGACCTACAAGCATGCTGGAAGCCTCACCAACCACCGCCAGAGCCACACCCTGGGCATCTACCCTTGTGCCATCTGCTTCAAGGAGTTCTCTAACCTAATGGCTCTGAAGAACCACTCCCGGCTCCATGCCCAGTATAGGCCTTACCGGTGTCCCAATTGCCCCCGTGCCTTCCGGCTCCCCCGGGAGCTGCTGGAACACCAGCAGTCCCATGAGGAAAGGCAGGAGAGGCTGTGGGAAGAAAAGGGGATGCCAACCACCAACGGGCACATAAATGAGAGTGGTCAGGACCACCTCCCTACTGCACAGATGCTTAACGGCTCTGGGGAACTCAGCACCTCTGGGGAGCTAGAGGACAGTGGCCTGGAGGAATACCGGCCTTTCCGCTGCGAGGACTGTGGACGCACTTATCGCCATGCTGGGAGCCTCATCAACCATCGCAAGAGCCACCAGACAGGTGTCTACCCCTGCTCCATCTGTTCCAAGCAGCTGTTCAACGCAGCTGCCCTCAAAAACCACGTGCGGGCTCATCACAAACCCCGGCAGGGGACTGGAGAGGGTAGGCAGTCATCAGTGACACCATTGACCACCCCCAAAGAAGAAGAAGATCCCACCACCACCCTGGACCATCGCCCCTATAAGTGCAATGAGTGTGGTCGAGCCTACCGCCACCGGGGGAGCCTGGTGAACCACCGCCACACCCATCGGACAGGAGAGTATCAGTGTTCACTCTGTCCCCGCAAGTACTCCAACCTCATGGCCCTGCGCAACCACGTTCGCGTACACTGCAAGGCTGCTCGCTGCAGTGCAGGCCCAGGGGCCGAGGGTCCCCCTAGCCACCTCAAGGTGGGAGCAGAGGCAGCCCCACATGTAGATCAGGGGCATGGGTGCAAGCATGAAGAGGAGGCTACTGATATCCCCCCAGCCACAGATGGGGCAGCACCACAGATCTGTAGTGTCTGTGGGCTGCTCTTTGAAGACCTTGAGAGCCTTGAACATCATGGCCGGACCCATGGGGGAGGGGGAGGGGAAAACAACCAGGCAGAGACCAGGGTATCACCTCCTCGGGCATTTGCCTGCCAAGACTGTGGAAAGAGCTATCGCCACTCAGGCAGCCTTATCAACCACAGGCAGACCCACCAGACGGGGGACTTCAGTTGTGGGGCCTGTGCCAAGCACTTCCACACCATGGCTGCCATGAAGAACCATTTGCGACGCCATAGTCGGCGGCGGAGCAGGCGGCACCGGAGGCGGGCTGGCAGTGCTGGTGGTGGTGGGGGTGTCAAGCTCCCATCGGCAGAGGACTGGGCCCAGGAGTTGGTGGAAGACAGTGAGAGCCCAGACTTTGCCCAAGACCCTTCAGGAGAAAGTCCTAGTGGAGCTGAAGGTAACTTGGAAAGTGATGGGGACTGTTTGCAGGCTGAACCTGAGGGGAACAGATGTGGTCTTGAGAGGGATGAGGCCTGTTACCAGGGTGATAAAGAGAGCAGAGGCAACGAGGAAGGACTGGAAAGAAAGGAGACCTGTTTTCTCGACAACTTGGGCATCCCAGGAGATGAGGAAGGCAGTGGGACCCGTTTCTGTGACGGCCTTACCGGGGTGGATAAAGACCAGAAACCAGCCACTGACCTGCCCAAGTCCTGTCACTCTGCCGAAGGTGTCACAAGCTGGCAGGCTGAGGCTTCCCACACGTGTTCCGACTGTGGGCATTCTTTCCCTCATGCCACCGGTCTGCTGAGCCACAGGCCCTGCCATCCACCAGGCATCTACCAGTGCTCCCTTTGCCCAAAGGAGTTTGACTCGCTGCCTGCTCTCCGCAGCCACTTCCGGAACCATGGGCCCGGGGAGGTGAGCTCAGCGCAGCCTTTCCTCTGCTGCCTCTGCGGCATGATCTTCCCTGGACGGGCTGGCTACAGGCTTCACCGGCGCCAGGCTCATGACTCCTCTGGTGTGACTGAGGGCTCGGAGGAGGAGGAGGAGGGGGAGGAGGAAGGAGCAGCAGAGGCAGCTTCTACCCGAAGCCCTCCACTGCAGCTCTCAGAAGCAGAGCTGCTGAATCAGCTGCAGCGGGAGGTGGAGGCGCTGGATGGAGCAGGTTATGGGCACATCTGTGGCTGCTGCGGACAGACGTATGATGACCTGGGGAGCCTGGAGCGTCACCACCAAAGTCTGGGTGGTGGTTTTGGTAACACCATAGACAAGGCACCCAGCAACTTGGGAGAGTCAGGTAATGGCACGGAGATGGTTACAGATGGTGTCTGTGAGGGCACAGTGACCTCAGTCTCTGGGGAGGGTGCAGACATGAAGTCTGGAGAGGGTGGAGGTGCCACAGTTGCAGACAGCCTTTGCGTGCGGGGTGGTGAAGGTTCCATGGAGGCCCAGCCCCGCCCCTTCCGCTGCAACCAGTGTGGCAAGACCTATCGCCATGGTGGCAGCCTGGTGAACCACCGCAAGATCCACCAGACCGGAGACTTCATTTGCCCCGTCTGCTCCCGCTGCTACCCCAACCTGGCTGCCTACCGTAATCATCTACGAAACCACCCCCGCTGCAAAGGCTCTGAGCCCCAGGTGGGGCCCATCCCAGAGGTGGAAGGTAGCCGTGAGCTCCAGATCATGCCAGAGGAGGGCCTGGAGCAGGCAGAAATGGAGAAGCTCCAGGAAGAACTTAAAGTGGAGCCCCCAGAGGAAGTGGCAAGGGTGAAAGAAGAGGCATGGGAGGAGACGACTGTGAAGGGGGAGGAGACGGAGCTGAGGTTGGAGACTGCAGAGAAGGGCTGCCAGACTGAAGCCAGCTCTGAGCGGCCCTTCAGCTGCGAGGTGTGCGGCCGGTCATACAAGCACGCAGGCAGCCTCATCAATCACCGGCAGAGCCATCAGACCGGCCACTTTGGCTGCCAGGCCTGCTCCAAGGGCTTCTCGAACCTTATGTCCCTCAAGAACCATCGGCGCATCCATGCGGATCCCCGGCGTTTCCGCTGCAGTGAGTGCGGGAAGGCCTTCCGCCTGCGGAAACAGCTGGCCAGCCACCAGCGAGTCCACATTGAGCGGCGTGGAAGTGGGGGCTCCCGAAAGCTGACTAGGGAAGATCGGCCCTTCCCGTGTGGGCAGTGTGGGCGGACCTACCGCCACGCCGGGAGCCTCCTGAATCACCGGCGCAGCCATGAGTCAGGCCAGTACAGCTGCCCCACCTGCCCCAAGACTTATTCCAACCACATGGCACTGAAGGACCACCAGAGGCTGCACTCGGAGAGCCGGCGGCGGCGGGCAGGGAGGTCCCGGCGGGCAGCTGTGTGCTGTGCCCTCTGTGGCCGGGGCTTCCCTGGCCGGGGCTCTTTGGAGCGGCACCTGCGGGAGCATGAGGAGGAGACCGAAAGGGAGCTGGCCAGTGGCCAGGGAGGCTCAGATGGCACAGGGGGCAGTGAGGGGAAGCTGGCTGGACTCGCGGGCAGATCATGTGATAATGAGACAGTACCTCAGCTGGAAGATGGAGCCATGCGGCCAGGTGAGCACAGTCAGAACCCCATCAGGGCAGCAGGTTCAGAAGCCACAGAGCCACTGTCTGGGGGGAACGTGGGGAAGGCAGATGGGTGGCAAGGAGACAGGGGACTGGTGAATCACAACGGAGGTTGGGTTCCTCAGGGTCAGGTACCAACCAATCCAAAAGATGTGTCAAGGGACAGTGTCCCCAGGAGCCCTTGCCACCTTGGCAACAGCCAGCCCGGTAGACTTAGTATGAGTCATGGGGATAGCTGCAACAATGGAGACAGCAGCTCTCAGCTTCAGCCAGAGAGCCACCCCGTTTCCTGCTCCCAGTGTGGTAAGACCTACTGCCAATCTGGCGGCCTCTTTAACCACCACAGCACCCACAAGACAGACCACCATTATTGTCACCTCTGCTCCAAGGAATTCTTGAATCCTGTGGCCACCAAGAGCCACAGCCACAACCACATAGCTGCTCAGACCTTTGCCTGCCCTGATTGTGGCAAGGCCTTTCAGTCCCACCATGAACTAGCCAGCCACCTGCAAACTCATGCCAGGGGCCTCAGTCAGGTACCACTCCAGATGGAGGAGGCCAGGGATCCCAAAGCTGAGACTACAGAGGACCAGGTGGGTCTCCTTGGTCAAGGGAAAGCCCAGGAGACCCCATCAGAACTCTCCAGGGCTCCAGGAGAGAATGCTGGGAGAGCTAGTAGAGGGCAAGGAGTAAAGTCCACAGTGGCTGAAGACGAAGAGCGGCCCTTCCGCTGTGCCCAGTGTGGGCGTTCCTACCGCCATGCTGGTAGCCTGCTGAACCACCAGAAGGCCCACACCACTGGACTCTATCCCTGCTCCCTCTGCCCCAAGCTTCTGCCCAACCTACTGTCCCTCAAGAACCATGGCAGGACCCACACGGACCCCAAGCGCCACCGCTGCAGCATCTGTGGCAAGGCTTTCCGGACAGCTGCCCGGCTGGAGGGCCATGGGCGGGTCCATGCACCCCGGGAAGGGCCCTTCACCTGCCCCCATTGTCCCCGCCACTTCCACCGCCAAATCAGCTTCCTGCAGCACCAGCAGCAGCACCAGGAGGAATGGACGGTGGCCAGCTCCGGTATGGGGGGCATGAACGGGCTTGGGCAGAGGATTGATTGGAGGGGCTGTGACGGAGGTGGGCACACAGCAGAGGGTGAAATCAGGCCCCAAGGTGGGTGGGGGAGCAAGAAATGAGGGGAGAGGGTCACATAGACTCAAAGAGGTGGGCAAAGAGGTGGAGGAAGAACTAGTTTGAGGATATTGCCTGTTGTGGAGCTGAGATCTGAATCCATGTCAGGTAAATAGATGGCATGTTGGATGGAGCAGTGTAGGGAGTAGTCAGAGGCAGCTGTCTGGACTCCTCTGCTGTGCCACCGTCCAAGAGTAGTCGTCTTCGTTTTAGGAGGGGAGGTGGCCAGAGACCACCTGACTACCACATCTGGAAACTGTCTGGATTCAGCTCATAAAGTCGTAACTCCCGCAAAGAAAGATGAAGCTGTTGATTTGATCTCAGATCTGGTCATTCCTAGACCAGAGTAGGCAAGGAGCCAGGGCAGGAGGAGTGGGGTGTGGTGGCACCTTCAGACTGGACTGCTTTACGGCTTCACTGCTGACTTGGCCACGGAAACTGGGTCGCTGCTTGGCACCCAACTCCCTGTTACTCTTTCCCTGCGTCTGTCGCTGCTTCCTCCTTTTTCCTTGTTGCCCCACATCCAGGAGCGGATTAACCAGTAAGCAAGGTACACACGGAATTAATTGTGTTTACTTACTAATCTGTGGTGCACAATTTCACATGGGTTTCACCACGTCTCTGATGTGAAAAACAGGTGAAATTGTGCACTACAGATTAGTAAGCCCTTGTGTACCTTGCTTACTGGTTAATCCATCCCTGCCCACATCTCTTCTCCTTCCCTTTATTTAACTTCTTTTTTCTCTCTCTTTGTATTTCCTTTTTAGAATCCAACCAAATCACCTTTTCCATCTGCACACCTCCCCCCACCCACCCCAAGCACACCTTTAACTGGAGGACTGAGTCACAGATAATTCTTTCTTTGAAGTGAGGCCCAGATGTAGCAATAACAGTCATTAGCCCCATCACACATCCTCTATCAGAGGGCAGTCTGCATGTAAAATCACCTCCACCCAGTTGGGTCGGAGGCTGCGGCTGCCTGTGGTTGTGCCTGCGGAGGAGTGGCACAGCCTGTACACTCAGCAAGCGCTGTGTTCTCTCTCCACCTTCTCTAGAGCTCGGTGGCCCTTCTCTCAGGACGCGTATGTTTAGTGGTATTCAAGGGTGGGTAACCTTGAGATGGCGGGCCCTTGACCAGAGATTGTCAGGGAAGGTGGGGATGGTGGGTGAGATTCCTTTGAGAGGCTGAAGGGATGGCAGGATTGCTTGTGACTCAAGTGAGGAGCCAGTTAGCTAGGGCTAGGGAAATAATTGGGCGTCCCAGGTCTTCTGAGCCCACGAAATGGCCTGCAGGCTTGGGAGGGGGGTACAAGGTGTGTGGAGTCTGCCCCCTCAGTTCTCTCTCTCTCTCTCCCCCTAGGAGCTCCAGTGGCACCAGCAGCGGGCAGAGGGGACGCGTCATTGCCCCCTCCACCTACCCCGGCACCTCTCCTGGAACCTTCACCCCAGTGGCCTGCAGACCTCAGCTTTTCCCTCTGAACTCCAAGTCTCCAAAGATCAGAATGGGGGGGGTGGGAGGGAGGGATTTGATCTCCATGTTTCACTCAGGAGTAGTTTGGGCATCCAGACTACTTATTTCCCCTCCCCTTGCAAAGAGGACCCAGCTCTGACTTCTTTCCCAGGGAGGGAGTGGGATGTTCTTCATGTCCCTGTCCTTGAAGGGCCTCCCTCCTCCAGCCTTTGTTACCATGCTCTGCCCCGTGACCAGCCCACTCCAACCCCAGGGAGAGGCAGTCAGAGAGCCATGGGCAGGAATGTTGCCTGTGGAAGGGGAGACTTTTGCTATAATTTGTAACTTATTTTCTAAAGTCTATTTTGTAACAATTTATTTAAGTTTAAAAAAAGGAAAATTGCTCCCCCACAAAAACGAAATTTTCAAAACACTTGGCCTTTGTGATTATATCTGAGGGGGTGAAGAATAGGGAATGCTGGTGCTGGGCGCCTGCTGGTGGTGGGTGCAGGGAGCACCCATAGGCATTATCTCCCTGTCCTGCAGGGCCTGATGGTCAGCAGGGGCATGAGCCGGGTGGGGAGTAGGGGCGGTTGCCGGTCCTGGGCAGGTTCCTTCTCAGAGCCCCCTGGGGTGCTGGGTCTTCCTCAGAGCCTGGAATTGCACATGGGTGGGAGGCATGGGGAGGGCAGGGGCAGTGAAGCAGGAATTGCCTCATTGTGTTGGTGGCATCCTGCAGTCAGCCCAAAGTCACCAGTCAACAGCCAGTGGGTTGGCCTGTCAGGGAGAGGAAGGGGGTGGGGTTGGCTTCATCCTCACAACTTTCCTCCCTCCTTCGGAGAGGAGAAGGGTGTTACTGGCCCCCCGACAGATGAGAAAACTACGGTCCAAGGAGGTTGCGAGGCCTGGTCTAAGTCACATAATGACTAAACCAGACTTTGAATCCAAATAGGTCTGTCCCACCCAGGGCAGCTAGAAGTGAGTCAGAACAGCTGTGTCCCTAGTTTGAGAGAAGGCCCCAGGCCCACATACTTACATTGGCCGGGCAGCTGCCAGTCTCGGCCTCAGGCTCCGGCTCTGGCTCCTTAGTGAAGTAGACGTGCCAGTTCAAACTGCTGACCCAGTCCTCATAGGCTGGGAGTGCCGTGAAGACTGCAGGCCTTGCAGGACCTTGGCAAGCATCTCCAAAGCTGTGCAGTCCAGCCAGGAACCATGTGCCCCTCACTTCATGTACCAGCGGTGCCCCAGACAGGCCCTGTCAGGGATGAGGTGACACTGGGTAACTTCCTCTTTCCCCCCTCGACAGCTGTGGGGGGTAGGGGGAGGCAGAAGGGGATAGGGGCTGAGACCCTGGCTGTTCGGGGGCCAGTTGGCAGGAGACCTAGTGTCAGGTGAGAGGCAGGGCTGGAGGTCAAGCCTGGGAGTTGGGCTCTTCATGAGCTGCAGGGTGCGTGATGCCAGGAGCCCGAAGGGTAAGGTTTGGGGGCTGGGGCTCACCTCACAGTGGGGCAGCTCACCCACAGCACTGCTGCACACCATCCCTGGCAGAATGGGGATGCCATCGCTCCCAGGGGCTGCATGCAGCCGGCTACAAGCCCTGGGCCCCAGGAGGGTCACAGGCACTGTCTGGAGGCTGATGCCTGTAGGGCAAGGGAAAAGATAACAGCTGTTCCAGTGGCCTTTAAGCTGGGTGGGCAGCTGCTGCTGGTGGCCTTGGTCCTACGTACCCGTTCCTTGGCGGGCTAGCCCCAGGGCCCAGCCACGTTTCCCGTCAGGCAGGTAGTGGTCTGCGTAGGGCAGGCAGAGAGGCCGAAGGCTGGGGCCTAGTGTCACAGGTTGGGCCAGTAGCAAGAGGGCCACATCGTGGCCCCCCTCTGGGTGGGTATAGGCCCCATGCAGGATGATCTGCTTCAGGCCACGCTCTTCTGGTCCAGCCCCCAGCCCTACACTCCATTCCTCTGGGCTCTGGCGCCTGTGCAGAGGCAGTGTTGACAGCACTGGGTGGCGGAGCTGCCAGCAGGGGCAGGGGGCACAAATGGGAGGGGCTTGGGGCTCACCCGATGAAGCAGTGGGCAGCAGTCAGCACCACCTCCTCTGACACCAGAGCTCCGCCACAGGCCAGCTTCCCCTGGTACTGCAGTCTGGCATCCCAGGGCCATGGGGAGGGGGCTCCCTCCTGTGGGCCTTCTCTCTTCAGAGACCCACAGGCTGAAACAGAGGGACTACATCATCTGACTTCTTGTTCTCACTGTATGCCAGGCAGTGCACTAAGCACTTCCCATGTGCTATCAAATCTCCACAATATCCTCATGATTTGAATTTTATTAACCTCATTTTGCAGATGAGGAAACCGAAACTCAGAGAGGTTAAGTGGCTTTCTAACTTTGTAACCACAGACAAGTAGCGGACTTGGGATTCAAAACCCAGCGCCAGAGTTTTTAACCTTTATGGTCTGGACAGTCCTCCTGCCCCAAACTCATGGGAGTGGCCTTGCTCATCACTCCCACCGGTCTGTGCCCCTCCAGGCCTGGATTGGTCCCAGAATTCCTGGCTCGCAGGTGCTTTTCTTACCATCAAGAAGAGCTTCCTCACCAGGAATTATTTTGCGTGAGATTTGCATGTTAGTCACTTACCCAGAGTTCTGCGTGGGAGCCCTGCCTTATTCAATCTTCGTAACTCCCTGCCTGGAAGCTTGCAACTTCCCCCCAAAACCTTCACCAGACTCAGAGATCTGTCTTCTTATCTAAACTCCAGACCCATAAACTCGCAAAGCATCTATGCCCCTTATCCCTAAGGGAGCTGTTCCCAGCCGAGGGGCTGGAAGGGGCCTTAAGAGGCCCCTTGATGTGTGTGAAGACCCTGCATCAATTCTCTATTCCAAGCTCAGATTTGTTCCACTAGGGCTTCCACCCCCTGCACAGAAGTCATGCAGGCCTGGGCGGCCCCACTCATCCCGCTCCCATTGCCCCCTGCTCATACCTATGCAGCTGTCCTCATCACTGATCTCTGGGGTCTGTCTGCTCTGGGCCAGGAAGGCTGCCCCCCAGGCTCGAGCCTGCAACCAGGAGCTGTGGGCAGCCATGTCAGTCAGCAGCACCGGAGTGTCCTCCTGGGCACAACTTGATGCGAAACTGATGATTCCAGCCTGGACCCAGTGTCCACTGGGCTCGTGGCACAGCACAGGGCCCCCGGAGTCCCCCTGGAGCCGGGCAGCAGAGCTGAGAACAGATGCCTGAGCCCCAGCCCTGGGCACACATCCTCTGACTGCAGTCCTTCCACCCACCCCTCCAGGTCAAGCCCCCAGCCCGAGACTAAGCTCCCTCCCCTTTTGCTCCCTTCTCCTCTGCTCCCCTCAGACCTGACAGGGCCCCTGCTCCCCGGGCCGGGCATCCGCACACAGCATGCCGGGCCGGGCTGGGTTGGCCAGCGGCCGCTGGTGCAGCCGGTTGTAGAGACAGTTACACGTGGGGCGGCTGATGAGACGCAGGCGCAAATTCCGTAGGGTCCTGGGAGCTGACAAAAGAGACTGGCTGAGGGTGCAATCTGGGCTCCTGGGATGGTGGTGGAGGCGGAGACTGGGAGCCGGATAGTTGGGAGCTGAGTTGTGTGACCTTAGGCAAGCAGAGTGCCTCTCTGGGCTCTGGTTTTGGGATAGCACTTACTATCATCGGTGCCTTGATCCCAGCCAGTGGCCCAGCAAGAGGTCCCAAAGGGGAAGCGATGGGTAGGTTGAGGTAGGCAGAGGGGTGTGCGGGCTGTGGGGCGGGCGAGCCGTAGCAGGGCCAGGTCGAAGCCCTGGCTGTAGTGGTTGTAGGCCCTGGGCAACTGCAGCGTAGCCACGCCCACTTCCTCAGCACCTGGACTCAGCCCTTCCTGCTGCAGAGAACCCAGGACAACTGACCAGGAGTCCAGTTCTGTCGCTGCTGCCCTGGAAGGGGAGGGACAAGGGCCAATGAGTGCAAGAGAAGTCGGGGGGGGGGAAGTGACACCACGGAAGACAGCATAAGGCAAGTGTAAGAAGGGCAAAATACATCAGCCCGTGGCTTCAAACAAGGTCCTTCCCTTCTCTCAACCTCAGCTTTCTCATCTGTACATCTTCTACCATGAAAGGTTGTTCAATTAACTGGATAATACCTACCTGGCATGTGGCAGATTCTCAATAGATGGTACTTTTATTATTCTAGGAGCAGATACTAGTCTGATGGGGCTTGGGGGAGTCACCCACCCTCCAAAGCCAGAAACCCTGTCTGACTCCAATCAGGACTCACTTTTCAAAGCAGTGGGCAGCGGTGAGGACCCAGGCATCTGCCACCAGGGAGCCGCTGCAGATGTGGAGCCCTTGCCACCTCACACTGGCCTGCCATGGCCACTCGCCAGGTACTGTGCTGCCCTCCTGAGGCTCAGGGGGGCCAGGGCCACGCTGCCCACAGGCTGTGGAGAGCGGTGGGTCAGGCTGACAGCAGGCCTCTGTCCTGCCCTCATCCCAGGCCCAACAAAGAAGCCCAGGCCCCACACTGATGCCCAGAGCTTACCCCACTGACTTGCTTGAAGACCTGGGAAGAGAGAGACACAGGTGAGATTTGGGGGAGCCTTTCCTGCCTGGGTGGAGAGGATGGGGTGGGGGGACAGGTCCTTGCCTGTGACTCTGTGGTTATCTCACCAGCCCCTCCCAGGATGAAAATATTTGTATGAGGTAGAGAAACAGCATTTATTGGAATCTATTCAGAGTGTAGACTCAGTAGTTAATTCTCCCTCTGCTGTCCTCAGCACTCCTAGACCGGAGGAGCAGGGCCTGGGGTTTGGCCCAGGCTTTGGAACCCCCCATTCCTGCCCCTGCTGCTGAGTCAGGGGAGGCAGCCTGTGTATTCCGAGAGCATTAGCCTAATTGTCCTCTCAGCCGTGGAGGCCTGAGAGGAAGGATTACAGGCCTGTGTAGCTTCCAAGTAGGGGAGGGCTCCAAGAGAATGAGACTCACCCCACGCTTGTTCTAACGACTCAGACTCCCCCATCTTCTCAGAAACCGCCAGAGGCCCTACCAAACAGCTCCCTGCCCTGCCTCTCCCTCATCAAAGGCATGCAGATACACCCCCTGAACATCTGAGCCTGGAGATCCAAGAAAGGGGACAGATGTAAAGATGGGGAGACTGAGGCCAGAGGCCCAGAACTTGCCTGAGGCCCCTCCGGAAGTAGAGGCAGAGAGGCACGATTACACCAGGATACACACACAGGCAGGACTAGGCACAGACACAATTACATCCCCACAGATACAGGCTGTAACCCGGTCCCAAGAAAATCACACCCATTTGACACAGGTGCTGGCTCCCCCAACACAGAGCCAGACACAATGACATTGCCACAGGCAGACCTTCAGATGGACCGGGTGACTGCCCACAGGCAGGCCCCCTCACACACACCAAGCTACAGGGGCTGCTGCGGCAGGTAGTCCCTGACCCCCACCATACCACCTCTCCCCATCACTCCTGGTGGCTCACCCTCTGTGAGGACCACCACTTCCAGGATGAGCAGCCCTGGTCCCCAGCTCTGCTTCATGCTGCTCCAGGACACTTGCCGCCAGCACTTTTGTTCTGAGAGGCCAGCTGGGTCTCCCCAACTCCACCTCTGCTCCACCCTCAGTTGGCTAGGATTCAGGTGTCATCCCTCTTCCTGGGATGCAAGGGTGTCAGCAGCTTCTAGCCCTGGGGCTGTATGACCCTGGGCTGGTCACCACCCCTCTCTGGGCCTCAGTCACGGAGCCAGACTGCCTGGGTTCAACTTCCAGTTCTGCCACTTACCACCTGCGTGACCTTGTGTCTGTGGCTTGTCTGCAAAGCTCAGTTGTAGAATGTAAAAACGCTTAGAATAGAGGCTGGCACGCAGTAACCTTGCTCCCAGCAGAGAAACTGTCGTCCTGGACCAACTGTGAAGGGGACAGTGGGCAGGCCCTCTCAGTTCACACTTTTCATTTCAGCTTCCCTGCCTCTTTCCCAGGCTCAGGTGCCAGAGAGTTTCCCACAGCTCCTCCCCATCTCTGCCGCAGAGGTAGTGTGTGCCGGACTGGGTGCCAGAGGCTGGGCTCTCTGCTACTTGTTGGTTATGAGACTTGCAAATCCCGACACCTCTCTGAGCTTGCCTCCTCCTTGGGAAACAGTTACAGTGGTGCCTGCCTTGCTCACAGGTGCTGGAAGAATCTCAGTCAGAAGGGAAGAACACTCAGGATGTTATCTTTTCAGCTGACGTATCCTAACTCAGTCCTGCCCAGACTGTTCAGGAACCCTGGCCCAACATAGAGGCAGCTGTGGGCAGAGTTAAGAGTACAGATGCTGGAGCCAGATGGCTCAGGTGGATTCAGATCCTAAGGGCTTCCGAAACCCCCCTCTCCAGCACTAGCTGTGTGGTCTCAGGCAAGTTACCTAGCCTCTCTGTACCTCAGTTTCCTCATGCCAGATGGGGATAACAACAGTACTTTATATAATTGCTGTAAGGATTAAATGAGTCAATACATGTCAAATTCTTAGAGTGCATGGCACATGAGTCAATGTTCAAAACAAAACAAAAATGCTCACAACCTGGCCCTCCAGAGCTACCAACGCTGGCCTGGGCTGGTAGATAAGGCAGCTGGAGAGCTTGAGGTTAGACTATAGGAAGAACTTTCCAGCAAGCATGCACAGAACCAGAAGGGCAGCTTGCCCTCACAGGTGTGTCTGGCCCTCCCAGAAGATGAGGCCTGACTCCCATAGGCAGTAGGGACAAGCTATCAGCTTGTTTCCTGGGGGTGGGGGCCAACTGTGCCCCAGGCCTTGCTGACTTCACACGCTAGTGATGGGACTAAAACACCCTTCCCAGGCAGGCCCTCCACTATCTCTCTGACTCATGCCCTTCCCAGCCCCAGAACAGGCAAGACTTGGGGAGGCCCAACACTGGGGACCACGGCAGACAGATGGCACTCACGTGGCTCAGACTCGGCCAATTTATTTAAGAAATTTTATTGCTCAGAACCTCCCCTCCTTAGGCAATGGGAGAAATTAGGAAACCAGCCCTGGAGGAGAGGGCTAGGAGCACTAAGGCGGAGGAAGGAGGGTGGCACATTTGGTCCATTGTCTGTGGGGAGATATGGTGGCAGCAGGTTGCAGGTCTTTCTAGGGACCCAGATATGGCCTTTTTGGGCAAGGTTCATGGGCCAAAGCAGAGCAGATGAGTTCAGCCTGGCCTCAGGGGGGAACTCAGTGCCCCTTGGCCTTGCCCTTGGGTCCCTGGGCCCCTCGGAAGCTGAGCACTGTCAAGCCCACATTGATGGCATAGGTGGTGATACAAACGATGCAGAAATCATACAGCACGAAGAACAGGATCCAGGCCAGGTAGACAGAACCAGCGAGAGACAACAGGGAACTCAGCACCAGCAGGATGGAGGTCCAGCGTCCCCGTAGGCAGCCTGCAAGGCAGAGAAGGGTCAGGCATGGGCTTCAGGGACTGGCCTCCTCTAGAAGGCTGCCATGTCTTCCCAGTGCCACCCAGACAGCAGGGGCTGTTGGAGAAGGGCCTCTAAAAATAGGAGACTCTGACAGGCTCCTCCATGGCCTTGGTTCCCCTGTTCAATGATCCCAGGGACCCAAATCCTGAATTTCTTGCTGAGCTCTACATGAGAGGAATTTCCTCCCAAAGAATTTCTAAGTCTTTCCCACAAAACTGGGGTCCCAGGAAGTCTTTAAGGGTCCTTCTGAGTATGACAGTACCTAAACCAACTGGAAAAAAAAAAAAAAAAAAACTGCCCCCATAGAGTTTCCAAGGAGCGCCTGGTGGATTTGAACTGCTGACCTTTTTTTGGTTAGACGCCAAATTCTTAACCACTACGCCACTAGGGTTTCTACTGTGTCCTATGGGGTCACTATGAGTCAGAACTGACTTGACAGCAATGAGGTTTTTTTTTTTAAACCAACTGAAAGACCCCTGTTGGTTCTCTCCCCCTCCCCACCCTAAGGTGCCCAGCAGACACTGGTCTGGATCACTAAGACTGCAAGGGATGGGGCTAGACTGACCAGGAGGGAGGGGACCTGTCATGAAGGGCGGGGCCTGCAGGGAAGGGGCGGGGCCTGGATGGCCACTCACCTAGGAACAGCTGTAGTGTGTAGAAGATGCAACCAAATATGCTGTTGGACTGATTGAGGACACTGTCAGGGCCCAGCACGTGCTCCACCAGCCCAAAGCCCCGACCCCACCTGGAGAGGGGAGGATCAGGTTAGAGATGTCAACCTAGTGCCCTGGGCCCTGTCCTGGAGGACTGGTTTCCAAGGAAACTGCCTGGGCTCTCTCCCCAGCCCCCACCCCTGTTTGAGTACAAGGGTCACTGACCTCCTGAGGTCTGTCCCTTTGGACACGTCAGGATTCCATGTCACTGCCTCTATCCTCCCCTATCTCCAGGCCAGGCCTGGCCACGGCTCCCCCATAGGCCCCTCTTTTCATCCTGGACTTTAATTCTCAAGATGGCAAGGTTGGAATAACGGTTGACTCAGTTTTACAGAGTTACCAGACTGGGATTCAGGGTGGGAGTCTCTTTATCCTGGATCCCCCAAATCTCCAGGCTGCTTACGGCTCGCCCACATCGCCCTCTGTATTCTGTCTTGGCGTTAAACCCGGGCCCTCAAGCACAGCCTGACCCAGTCTCCCTGTCCCCAGGCACAGCCATCATCAGGCCGAGGCTCCATCCCAAGTCCACTACTCTACCTCCCTCTCCAGCCCGGTCCCTGTTATTCCTCGGCATCCAGATCCACAAGAATTCCAGTTACCAACACCACCTGCCCCCCTGCCCCGCACTCCTTATCTCGGACACTTGTCTCTCTGGATAGTCCAGGCTTGCGTGCACACCCCATTTGCCGGGCAGCGCCCCCTCGAGCAGCCTAGCCCCCATGCACATCTCGTTCCCTTGCACCGCTCCCACATGCAGCGGGGTCCCCAGCTCCTCACGCCTTCGACTCTCGCGCGCACCTGGAGGAGAAGACACGCGAACAGCTGATGGCGGTGCCCACGTCGCAGAGCGCGCGGTAATCCTTATCCCGGGCATGCGCCGCCTTCACGTGAAGCGCGTAGAGAGACAGTCCGAAACCCGCGAGGCAGAGCGCAAGCCGCGCCCATCCAGGGCTCGCCCAGGTAGTCCCCATGCTTTCCCGTGCAGCTCGAGGCGACTGCCCAGGGTAATCTGCCACGGGGCAAGGGCGGAGCAGAATATGGTCACGCCCTCTCCCGCCTCTCTGACTGGGCGATTGGCCGACCTTGTGCCGCATTCCCTGATCCAATTGGTTGTTTCTGGGACTTGAGAGATGTGATGGAGAGTTAAGAAAACAGAGCGGAATGCTGGGACTGGTAAAGCGGATTAAGAAATGTGGGCAGTCGTAGACAAGGCGACCTGTCAAGCACGATGGGAGTTGTAGTCGGAACAGCTGCAAGGCATCAAGGGGAATGGAGTCTCTGTCTCCAAACCGCCCCTCCCCCCCCCAAAAAAACCCAAACCCGTTGCTGTGAGTCGATTCCGACTCATAGTGACCGTATAGGACAGAGTAGAACTGCCTCATAGGGTTTCCAATGACCGGCTGGTGGATTTGAACTGCCGACCTTTTGGTTAGCAGCCGAGCTCCTAGCCATTGCGCCACCAGGGCTCCTGTCTCCAGGGTTGTTAAAATGATACGAAATGTGGCTAACAGGGTTGCTGGGGCCCTGGTGGCGCAGTGGTTAAGAGCTACAGCGTGCTATGCCTGCTAGCCAAAAGGTCAGCGGTTCAAATCCACCAGCCGATTCTTGGAAATCCTATAGAGCAGTTCTACTCTGCCCTATAGGGTCGCTATGAGTCAGAATCTGCTCGTCGGCGATAGGTTTGGTTTGTTTTTGGAGCCGAGTTGTTATGAATGAGAATCGACTTGACGGCAACGGGTTTTTTAACGGGTAGCAGTACAACAACAGTATGTGGAGTCATAGAGTGGCGCAAACGATTAAACGCTGGGCTACCGAGTAGTTGCAATCCATCCAGAAGCACCTCAGAAGAAAGGCCAAGTGGTCAGTTTATGGCGCGCAGTTCTACTCTGAAACACATGGGGTCGCCATAACAATAGGTAGCGCTTCTTCTGTGCTGGCCTGTTTTAAGCATTGGAACAGCCAGGACCTAGACACCAGTGGATCAGGGAAGCCAGGAAGTAAGCATTTCCCTGAAATTAATACTTCCGACACCATTCGGACTATATAGCCTCCTATCCTCCCAACTTGGTCAGTCATTCCCTCCTGCTTTATTAGGACCCCCAGCTTTGAGCTTACTGCTTCCTCCCAATCCATCTACCATCGCCTCCTGCCAACGAGCTCCTCCCTCCTTTCCTTAAATTCCCAGTTCATCACCTCAGCCATCCTAAACTCCCTTTGTCCCTTTGTCCTGTTGTGGCACCCACCTGGCAAAACGTGAGCCCTGGATCAAGCCAGCAGTCCCCTCTCCAAACCTTCTGTGGACTAGCTGAACTCTCTCCTTCACGGACATCCCCATCTATTACTTGCTTCTCTCTCCCATCTTAGAAACGGCAACAAATCTCCTTTCACCCGGAGTTCCGCCACTAGCTCCCACCCTACTATCCCTGACCTCCCCTTCATAGTCAAGTTTGTGATGTTTACACCCTGTTTCCACTTTCTCACTTCTCCTTTGCTCTGCTTGGCACATCATAAGCTAGCTTCTGCCGGCAACACATGTCCTGGTGTCACCAGGGCGCTAAATCCAATGGATATTTTTCAGTTCTTGACTGACCTCGCTACAGTATTATTCACTGTTGAGCACTCCCTCCTAGAAAAACTCTCTCTTTCTCTGGCTTCTGTGATATTTCACTCTCCTGCTGGCCTTCCTTTCTCTCTGGCTGCTCCTCCTGAGGTCTACTTCTCTTCTTCCAGAGAAGATGTGGTAGACAGAGTAATGGCACCTGAAAGATACCCACATCCTAATCCTGGGAACCTGTGAATATGTTAGGTTACATGGCAAAAGGGGATTAAAGTTGCAGGTGGATTTAAGGTTGCTAATCAGCTGACTTTAAAATAGGGAGATTATCCTGGATTATCTGCGTGGGCCCAATGTAGTCACAAGGGTCCTTAAAAGTAAAAGAGGGAGCATAAGAGTCAGAGGGAGATATACCTATAGAAGAACAGCACAGAGAGATGCAATGTTGCTGGCTTTGAAGATGGAGGAAGGAAGCCATGAGCTGAGGAATGTGAAAGGCTTTCTCTTACCCTCACTCCCATAATCTATGCAGAAGGAGTTCACTTCTCTCCACTATGTGATCCAAGCCATCATCACCTCTTACCTAGATACCTGCAGTAGCCTTCTCACTGGCCTCCCAAAGCCCCTACCCCAAGATCAAGTAGCTAAAGCAAAAGGAAGAAATAATGAAGTAAAAGAACAGAAGATTTCAAAGGGTGCCTCGAGAAGACAAAGTAAAGTATTATAATGACATGTACAAAGAGCTGGAGATAGAAAACCAAAAGGGAAGAACACACTTGGCATTTCTCAAGCTGAAAGAACTGAAGAAAAAATTCAAGCCTCGAGTTGCAATAGTGAAGGATTCTACGGGGAAAATATTGAACTACACAGGAAACATCCAAAGAAGATGGAAGGAATACAGAGTCATTATAGCAAAATGAACTGGTCGACGTTCAGCTATTTCAGGAGGTAGCATATGATCAGGAACTGATGGTACTGAAGGAACAGTGCAAGCTGCACTGAAGGCATTGGCAAAAACAAGGCTCCAGGAACTGACGGAATATCAATTGAGATGTTTCAACAAACGGATGCAGTACTGTAAGTGCTCACTCGTCTATGCCAAGAAATTTGGAAGACAGCTGCCTGGCCAACTGACTGGAAGAGATCTATATTTATGCCTATTCCCAAGAAAGATGTTCCTACAGAAGGAGGAAATTATCAAACAACATCATTAGTATCACATGCAAGTAAAATTTTGCTGAAGATCATTCAAAAGCTAGTGCAGCAGTACATTGACAAGAAACTGCCAGAAATTCAGGCCGGATTCAGAAGAAGACATGGAACCAGGGATATCATTGGTGATGTCACATGGATCCTGGCTGAAAGCAGAGAATACCAGAAAGATGTTTACCTGTGTTTTATTGACTATGCAAAGGCATTTGACTGTGTGGATCATAACAAATTAT